TTGATCGTTTCGAAATTCCTAGAATACTTTCTTATTAGTATTCTACGATTGTATTCGCTGAAACTGGAGGTCGTAGGGTGGAATCCACGGAATTTCAATTACCGAAAATCGTTTTCACTGGTTCTGGCACGAAGCCGCGGCGGGACCTGTGAGTCAACGTCTCCGCTCGAAGGCTATAGAAAACGATTCGGCATCACCAGCACCAGCTAGGCTTCTCGTTTTCAGTATTATACCTTTAGTAATCGTAGTAATACTCATATAACGTATATTTTCTAATTTTTATACATTTTAGAAGGTCAATCAAGGCTTTAATAGCTTTTGCTACACAGTATTAAAGGGTATACCAGAATTATATACGTTTTATCATAGTTAAATCAATAATACCTTTCTAGCTCGTTCCTGGCACCTACTACCCTGCACCTCCGCACTTTCCGCCTAATCTCTGACTCATTTTTTTGGACAAAACAATCCAAGCTCGGCTTGGCCAGTCACTTGATAAGCTTTTTCACTCGCCATACCTTAAGGTTTCCCGACTTTTTAGGGTATAAATCTTCTTTAGTATACTTAATATACCTTTATCTCTAAGAAAGGTTCATTTTATAACTAATTTTGGGTCGTAGTGGCTTCAGCTGTCTGTTTTTTTTTAGTTTTTAACCTTTAAAAGTATCGATTTTTCTATTTATAGCAACTTTTCAACCTTATTAAATCAAATACACACCCCCAAATATGCATAAATTTTCACCCGCCCCACCGCCCCGAATAATAATATGTTTGTGATTGGGAGTGGAATGGCCGGTGCCGAGTGGATAGGGAGAGGGGTGTAAAGAGGTGCTGAGTGTAGAGGCTTCAGCCTTCTTATCGCTTTTGGGCATGATGGGGTGGAGAGGGGGGGGGGGCTGTATTTTCCTGCTTTCCTCGGGCTTGATAGTTGTGATACGAACCATGGGCGGCCATTCTTAAGACATGAGGCCCTCGATTTGGGTGGCATCGATTTCCGGGGCCGTTTTCCTGGATTCTCATGTGATTCAGCGTGGGGGGTATCGGGCGTTTCCGATTCGGGGCCCGATGCCAGCCGCTCGAAGATTTCATTGTATAGTCAGTCATACTTGCAACAGATTGTGGATTGTATATTTTCGGGGATTTTGGATGAGTCACGGTTTTGGATGGAGGGGGCTTTTGGAGCTTTTCAGCTGATAGGTATCTTGACATAACTTTAGAACTATCTCGTTTTGTTTATTTTTATACGCTGCTTATTAAAATATATTGTTAATGGTTACTGTAATTGCTAAAACTTTGAAAATAAGAAATTTTAGAGAAAAACTCGACAATTTTGGCAGAGTTCGAGAGAAGTTTTGAATTTTTAGCTGCCTAGGTCCCTATGAATTCCTCCAAAATGCGATGTATTATAGTTTTTTGTGCTAATTATTACTATCAACTTTTTACAAGCATATTTTTTGCGTTACTGTAGTTTTAACAATTTTTGATTTTTTATCCCCAATTTTTCCATAAAATAAGGTTTTTTTTTGTTCGTACGTCAAATCAAAATGGACTGAAAATTATGTATTATAGTTTATCAGCTTCTTATTTTTTTTGATGCTAATTTCTCTTGATTATTGTTTTATCTCAGGTTACCGTAGCCCAAAGAAATTTTTAAAAAGCCTGAAAATTTTAATTTTGGCGATTTTTTATTCCCCGGCCCCTGACCCATACGATATAGTGGATAAATGGTAGTAGCAGATGGTGGGTTGTGCGGGATCCATAATTCTCGCTAATCCCCATCTTGTCTTTGTGGTGTGGTAGCGCTCTATTTGCGCTCACCACCCGCAGGAATTCGCTGTGGGTGGTCCTCGGGTGGATGGGGGTAGATGGGGGGAATGGGGCGCTGGGTCATGCAACTTGGGCATACTCTTGGGTAAATGGCCAAGCGTCTAGAGGTGTCGAACGGAACTTAGAAACAGCGCGAAAATATTGCAATTCTTCCGAAACTGTACTATAAACTGTTTGGAAGTCTGTCAAAAATTCCTGCAATTTTCAAGCCAAATGTTGAATTCCTAAGCTTAAGCCCAGACTAATCCTAAGCCTAAGCCTAAGCCAGAGCCTAGACCTAAGCGAAGACGAAGCCTAAGCCTAAGCCTAAGCCCAAGCCAAGCCTAACAAGGAGTGGTTTTTGAGTGTCATTGGCAAATCCCTTAGCGACCTAGTTCATTCGATAGAGAATTGAATTCTGAACAACCTCTCGTTGTTCATTTTTGCAAAACGCCTTTCCCTGATTTTATAAAATTTAAAAACTTTAAATGGAATTTTCCGTACCCCGTCTGGCGCGGCCAGCCTAGGGAGCCCCCCCTAGGAGATGAGCTCTCTCCGCCTCCCCCTCTCATCATGGGACGTGGCCTAGTGGTTAAGGCTTCCGCCTTCAAAAATTTTTTGCATCTTTGTGGAAAGTTCGGTTCCTTGCTAGAAAATTTGTTTTGCTTTTTATTATTAAAAACGTTTGCAGACGTTTTGATAAGTTAATTGATTTAAAATAATACTTATTACAACGTTGGCTGCTCTGCGCGCATTCAGGAAAATTTACAACAAAAAAACAAATATTATGATCCAGGTTAGTGTGAGTCCTCTAAATTGAAGGTGCAACCTGTTTAAAAATACTAGGGCAACTTATAATACAAAAAGCAAAACAAATTACATCTACAAGAACCGAACTTGCAAAAGATGCAAAAAAAATTTTTGGAATACAGCCGCGTTAGCCACTGCGCCACGGCTGATGCTGAGGGGGTTGCGCTGAAGGCCTGTTCCCCTAGAGCGGGCCCGGCATGATTTTGATGCGCCGAACCGACAGTTGGCCCAATTCCATTTAAAGTTTTTAAATTTTATAAAATCAGGGAAAGGCGTTTTGCAAAAATGAACAACGAGAGGTTGTTCAGAATTCAATTCTCTATCGAATGAGCTAGGTCGCGAAGGGATTTGCCAATGACACTCAAAAACCACTCCTTGTAAGCCTAACTCTAAGCCTAAGCCGGCTTTTTCAGCGTTTCTAGCTTTCTCCTCGGCTAACCAACCAAACCTCAAAACGCTACGAAACTTTCCGAATTACGCCCAAAAACGCTCCGAAATCTGGATATGATACTAAACTTTTGGAACCGGCGTTGGCCGCCCGTCCGTCTCTTGGTTCCCAGCCTCGTCGTCGGGCCTCTTGGGGCGAGCGGGGAGGGATTGTCGAGTTGTTTTGTTGATACTCAGCACCATATGGCGTGTTCGCTCTCTCTCTCTCTCTCTCTCTCTCTCTCTCTCTCTCTCTCTCCCTCTCAATGAGCGTTTCCTTGAGCCGCTCAAATCACCGGTGGTGGTCCTGGGATGTGAGAGTCGGGGGTTAGAGGGATTAGGCTTAGGCTTTGCTTAGGCTTGGCTTAGGCTTAGGCAGTGCTTACTTACCCTTCATAAAAACCTTCAAATCAAAGCCCAAAACCCAAAATTAAAAACCCAATCCCCCGGCATCAAGCATCCATCGGCATCGCCATCACACCCGGCGCGGGACACTTGTTTTTGAGGCCGAAGCAGAACAAGAAGACCAAGAAGAAAAAGAAGGGCGCGGTCAATATTTGTCCGTCATGGGCCCGGGCCTACAGTCACAGAAGAGACAGACATTCGGGCCGACTGTATGAATGGCTGGGGTGCGCACTTTGGCGCGATGCCCTGCCCTGTTCTTTACAGTCCCATCGATTTTTGGCGGTGTTTTCAAGTGGAATTTGGATAAATTTTGAGGTACTGTAGGGTTGCCTTGCATTTAAAGGGACTGGGCAGTCAAATCGAGGTATGAAAACGTCTTGTTGGAGCTAAAAACTTTTGCAGCTATTTTTGCTATTTTCTAAATAGTTTAGCTAGTTTTTCAATGCCAATTTTATGATTTTTTTAGTAATTTGACGTACTCGAGGGATACCGTACTTTTCAAGGGATTGAGAAGTCGAAACGACGTCTAATAACGTCTCGCTTTTTGCCAAACCTAAAACTAAACAATTTTGCTTTCCAAAGCTTTTAACAAGTATTTTAGGGCCCTATTGCCGGTCTTCCAGCTGGTTTTTAAGGAATTTATCAAGCAATTCGGCCGCTAGACCCTAAAACACACCCCCATCAACTTCAAGCAGTTCAGCCCCAGCGCCGCGCGGCGGTTCAAGAGGCTTCAGCCGGCCGCGAAGACGCCTCCAGGCTTATCATGAAGCCTGGTGGCCTGGCTGGTTGGTGTAGAAGAAGAAGAAGCAGAAGAAGCAGAAGAAGAAGGAAAAGGGAGGACAGCCCTGGGGGATGCAGTGTTTGTGGTGGTTCTGTTGACTTTGGAGCCACCCGCCCTGTGGGGGAGGCTTGTGGAAAGTGGAGAAGAAGTGAGAGAAAGAGAGAGAGGGACAGAAAGAGAGCGAGAGAGAGGGAGAGAATTTCCCCCACCCCTTCATGCACCAATCCACCATTCCATACGGGACCCCAACGGCCACCCCCCTTGGGGCCACACCATCAGCACCCCGCCGTTTTGCACGATTTTACGGTGTCGACCGGACAGTTTTGGGCTTTATTAGCCAATTATCGAGATGCGGTAACTTGTAGTTGATAGCTATGCTGATTTTTTGCCTCCCTATAGGCTTTACAGCTTTTAAAGGGGTTGGGAAGTCAAAAAATCTGCCAAAACTCGCGTAGTTTTGCGTTTGACAACTTGGCAAAGCAGATTTTGGCTTCAAGGGTCCTTTAACCGGTTTCAGAAAGCTTATAAAGTTGTTGGATTCCACTGGTGCATTAATCGGTGCTTTAATTTTTGTTTTACAATTTCTCTTGTCAATTTTATCACACCAAAATGTTCGTTTTTCTTTTTCGATCTAAAATTTTTCAACGATTTTGTTATACTTTTTATCGATTGATATTTTCTATTTTATACACAATTTTTGTAGACCAATCCCCACCGCAACCGTGGTGACCTAAACCGAATCTCTTCCCCCCACCTTTTCCACCAATTCACCATGGCCTACCAGGGGACACATTATAATTATCAGGTATGAAAATCGATATAAACAACGATCAAATAATTACAATAAATGAATATTCTATCTATTTCCAGGTAATTGTGATATTCGCGATTCTTCTCGGCGGCGTGTTGCTGTTGGCGCTGGTGATTGGCGCCATCTGGTTTGTCTGCGTCAATAATGTAAGTTTTGCTGTGCGTGGTTGGCAAATAAACAGAAAGTAAAGTTTAAGCTTAATTATAAGCTTAAGTCAATGCTGAATTCAAAGCTTCAAGTCGGATTAAAGTTAAAGTTGAGACAAAGCGAAGTCTAAGCCTAAGCCTAAGCCTAAGCCCAACCCTAATCGACCCATTCAAGACGATCGAGCAAATCTAGCTTTGCGCCTTGCCGGAAGTCAAAATCCATAGCCCCCATCCCTTTCCCATCCCTTGAACCCCGCTCCCCCCCCCCATTACCATCTCCCTGACCTGCTCGAAAAAGTGGTGCAACTACGAGCCATTCCGCCCTCAATTTCCGGCCCAGGCGGCTTTGGCCGTTCTGTGGGAACACTTGCCGTGTTTTGTTTGCTTATGTCTCCCTCCCGCGAGAGCCAGCAAGGGGGGACTTCTGCAGCAGAACCCCCTCTAAATTTGCATACGGGCCTTTGCGCCCCTCTTGCATCACCCGCGCCGCGTACCCGAAAATGCATGCATGTGCACTCATCGATTTTCTGGGTTTACCTGGGGGTTAGAGAGAGAGAGAGAGAGAGAGAGAGAGAGAGAGAGAGAGAGAGAGAGAAGAGTGAGAGAGAGAATAATGAGACAACCTTCCTAACCCCTTTAAAATACGCGATAAGATCCTTTTCTGGGATATGGATTTCCTGGGTGCCTGGGTATTTGACGCGCAAACCGCAAGCAGCGCGACCGCTATGATTATATTATGAATTCATCGCACAATTAAAAAGTGTGCGTACGCGTCACGTATCGCGCCCGCGAATCATTACGCAATGAAAAAGCGTGCGTGCGTGCGTGCGTGCGTACGCGTCACGTCACGCGCTCCCCAGCCGATTCTTATAAAACAATTCCAGATGCGTGACGACGACCGGAAGCGTATCCGCTCCCGGCCCCCATCACAAGTCTGGGGCCACCACCAGGCCAACATCCAGCCCCAACAACAAACGTTCCCCCAATCATACCCGCCCTACAACCCCAACGAGTACGTTGCGCGCCTCTTAACCCTGTATTAACCCCCGCATTCAGCCAATTCTCGCAGCGACCCATCTCGGCCAGCCCGGCCGTCCAGCAGTACAACGTTTCGCAGGTAAGAACTGGGAAATTTGGTTTTGAGGCGGATATTTACGACCCGATACCGATAGCCAGGTGGTTGAGCTCTAGCTTCTAGCCCGCAACACCCGGGTTCGATCCCAGGCGCGGCAAAACTTTTTGATTTTTATGCTTTGAAAGTTTTACGACATGTATGAGTTTTTTTTAGAGTCCACTAGTGACCCAAATGCCGCAGGATATGTATGGCAATCAGTACCGCCAGTTGCAACCGGAAGTGACTTACACTCAGGTATCAAAATGGATCTAGGCGGCTTCAAAAGCAAAAATATACACGCTGCACGTAAGGCGAAAACGTGCGTTGCGTGTCACGTCATCCTCAAAATTTAGCCTGTCTTTCAAGCCCTTCGAAAAATATAAAACATAGAATTTTTGGCTGATTTTCTCTTAAAAAATACAAATAGTATACTCATAAATCCTAATCCTATCCTACAAATCATGCTCAACCTCCAGGGACCGACCAGCTACATGGCGCAGACGCCCGTCGACTATTCGATGAACCGAGAGCCCTTCCGCCAATCCGTCATTTAAACGTCACCTTTCAAAAAGGCCATTTTCTAACTATCTAAATCTGAAAAATAAAAAATCTTCTACAAAATCACCTGTGATTATACCATTTTGGGGAAATGTCGCAACTCTCCGGTATCTTTCAGTTTCCCCCAAAAAAATGGAGTCTAATAAGTGGGATACGGTGGCCCGGTCGTCAATAGTACGCTTGCGCACGTTGCCCCAGACGTCTTCTAGTCGCCCTCAACTTTCATTACCGCAAATTAGCGTCTTCGGCTTGGGCTAGGCTTAGGCTTAGACTTGCCCGACCTAAGCTTCCGTAAGCTAAAGTAGAAATTATACCAAAACCACTGCCTGATGACAATCTCCCACTACTTATTGTTTTTATAAATCGTTTAAAACATTTAAATGTTCATTTTCTTCCCCCATCGGCATAATCCAGCACATCAAGAAATCCTATGGACAGCTGCTGGGAATATTTCTGTACTTTAAACCGTTTTTCCCTCCCCTGCTCATCGCTCTCCCCAATAAAGCCTTTGTTGTGATAAGATGGATTTGGTTGTGAAGGTTTTAATAAAAGAAAACCCAATCTACAACACTATTTAGCCTAAAAAACCTTAAAATCAGCTGGAAATCTTAGAAAAATACAAGACAGACACATTCTTCTACCAATTTGGGCTTAAATGAGCGGTTTTTGGCGGCAAAAAGTGTTCGCGTCGCGACCCAGGTTTAGGTCTAGAGCCTTGATGATACTCTAGAAAAGAGGATTGATTGGCCATTTCGCCGCTCCATCGCATCCCGGTTTACAGCGCCGCCGGGGGCTTCTTTTACCCCCTTGCCGTTCATCGCCTGTTCCGTTGGGCCCTCTTTGCGCCGCTTCTTGTCTTGTCGTTTCTTTTGGGACACTAAATACGAACCACATTTCATGTCTCTCGTCTACTCCTTCCCCCTCCAAAAAAAACCCCTGCAGCAATCCAAGGGGGCCCGGTCGAAAATTGGCTGTAACGAAAACAGAACAATTCCAATGACACAACCATTTTTGCCATTTGAATTCGTGCCATACGCTCAAAAACTCGAACAAAACCAATCAGCTATCCTAAATAGCAGCAATCGGCCAGAATTGGCCTAAAAACAAGTCGATCGATCGATACGATGGTCGCTGACGCGAAAACTTCAAATTCCGAGCCACAAATGCCAACAATGATTTATCTGAACATTACATAATAAAAACCCCCGCATATGAATGACCGACGTGATAAAAGCGGAATTTTGGCAGTAAAGGGGATGATACAAACAAAAAAACGGGTACTCCTGACATGTATTTAATAAATGTATTTCTGTCCTTTTTTTACGAGTCGTCATTGTCGATCCAGTCGACGAAGTCCGCCTCGGACATCGAGCGGTTGAGCTGAAAATGCCAAGTTAAATCGGAAGTCTAGAACCAAAAACAACGCGAAAAAAATACCGCACCTCCAAACCGCCGAACTGCTCCGGCAGGTCTTCGTCGTCGCCCAGCGGCTCCATCACGGCAGGCTGAAAAAAAAAGACATTTCCTAGCTCATGCATCCGCCATCCGCCGCCTACGATCAGCTCAACAAAAAAAAAATACATAAACGCGGGGGCCGGCTAGAATTTGCGACATTTTGAAGAGCCCAATCGATCGACGAACAATATAATAAGAGAGTTTTTACAGCCCGAAAGCCATATTTAAAACTATTTTAATTATTAGGAAACTTTCACTGCCCCCCCGTTATGATATGTGTACCGCCAATTACCCACGTATTCTACCTCCCCATTTACCATATGCCAACAGCAAAAAGTTGAACCCGAATTTAGCTAGCAGGGCAAAGAGTTATCAAGGCATAAAATATTTACTTGGTTGGGATGCTCTTCGTCGCGCTGGCTCATCTTCGCGTTACCAACAATCGGCGAGAGGGAGATGTCGAGGAGCAGCTGAAAATTTGGTATAGAAAAAGATTGCCACAGCGACTGTCTTTAAATCCCCCATCTAGCCATAGAGGCCAAAGAGTTAACAAGGCGACAAAGATTTACCTTCTTCTTCTCGGCCTCACCCCAGCTCGGAGGCGTAAAGTTGAGGTTGGCGAACGTTTTCTGAAAATTGGGCTGTAAAAGACATGAAAACGTTTATACAAACAACTATTTAGTTACAAAAATTATCGAAAATTTCTGAGTTTTTGCCCAAAAATGTCAGAAAACCGGTCAAAATCAAACAACCCGAAATGCTAAGAGGAACCATTATTTAGGAGTTGATCAATAATAAATTTACCTCATCGGGATTGACGTTGAACCCCTTGGCAGGCGCGTTCTCGTCGATCAGCTTCTTCTCAACCTGAAAATGGGGCATAATAGTTAAGCAACAGCTAATAATACTGCACCCTTCACACTATTTTATAAAACTCTGATTAATAATAAATTTACCACCTCGGGCTCGTTCACACTCATCGCCGAAATGTTGCCGGGCGACGGCTTCTTGGCAGCCTCCTTGCGCTGCGTCTTCTCGACGGCCATCTCCTCGCCCTGAAAATGGGGTACATCATGGTTAAGCAAAAGCCAACAACCCCTTCACACGATTTTATAAAAAAAATTCAATCCAAGCCATTACTCGAAAAGGGGGCGTCAAATTCAGGGCCAGACGCTTAGCAACCTAGAATAAAACCAATCAGCTACTTCTAATGCGCCCTTTCTAGAATTTTATCAAAACGCAAAAAGTTGGTTGCGAGTGGGATCGAACCCGGACCATAAAATCAGTCAAAGAATGCCAAGTTCATGGAGAGAATAATTATGCTGAGCTAGTCATAAAAGGCTAGCGTTACAAAAAGAATCAAGATCAGTACCTTGACCGTGTCCACATCCGTCATGAGGATCGGAGAGCCGAGGAGCTCCTCCGCCGTCCGGGCCTTCGTTTTCTTGTGCTGGAAAATTGGTTAATTTTTACCGAATTTTTCATATTACAAGTCCAGCTAGGCCCAATAACGCAGGAGCAATTATTTAAATTGTATTTTTCAAAAACTTAGCTTTATTTCAAAAGGACTACCTAATTTGAAAACATAAAAATCGTTGAAACGCCGTTTTTTGCGTCGAAAAATCGATACTTTTTTGCATTATTTAATCAAAAGTTGTAAAGTAAAAGAACCGAATAAACGCACCAGAGCTCCCGTTAACATTGGCATCAGAGGCTGGCCGGGCATTATTCGTCGTTGAGAAGAACTAAAATTCAATTAAATCCACTCGATCACCAGAATCAGTTACAGATACAATGGGCTTAAAACCCGTAATAAAATCCGAAAAGCGTACATGAATAATGTTTATCGGTTAATCACACATTAAAAAAAGTATTTTAAGCTTTAATTTTTTCATTTTCGTCGTCCTCCTCGTGGCGCTGCGAAGGCATCTAAAACACAGTTTATTTCCACGCGAAAATATAAAAACGGGAAACAAAAGCAAGGCATTAAAAATTACAGCACCTACTCGCTTTTTTAGTCAAAAAGAATACACAAAAAAAATATACTTTTCGACATCGCCAAATATAAAAAAAGGCAGAAATTAGGCCAAATACAGCGCGCCGATGCAAATTTTGCGATTAATTTTCAAATTTGGATACGAAATGTCTTGCCAGGCCTGGAAACCGGGAATTTGCAAGTTTTGAAAGTGTCATAGTCGCAGAAACAAAATAAGTACCTGCAAAAGGGCTGCATTTGAGGGCCGCAGATTCCTCGTCGCTCGCGTGGTCCCATCGAGCCTGAATGTTATGAAAAAAGAAAAAGTACCATTTCTGAAGTGTTCCCTTCGGTTCCAGCGTTGCCCGGTCTTCACGTGCTTGCGCTATCTGAAAATCCACTGAATGAATTGGAAACGACAATAAGAAGACCATTACTAAAACAAGGCGAATTTTTTGTGCGAGAAGAGGGTGAAATAGTGCAGGCGGCGTGGTCCTTCCCCCCAAAAGATGCAAAAATCGAAGTTTTCCCATATAAAACGCAATTTTTAGAGTTTTTAGAGAATTTTTAGCGCTCCAGAAATTAGCGGAAGTACCTTCAAATCGAGCAGCATCCTCATCTCATTGGAGTGGGCCGATTTGAAGACGTTCGTCCATTTGCCAGCTCCAATTGTCGCCTCCATCGCTCGCCGTCTCCAGTCGAAATCTTCCCACGAGTGTCTGAAAAATAGGGGCGGAGAAGTAGTTTGAGAAACGACTAACCGCAAAACCATATTGGAGGTGCTGGCTGACGGTCGCCTTCGCCATCGCTTCCTTCACGCGTTTCATCCGTCCCAGACCTGAAAAACACGGGCGGGGAAGTAACTAGATAAACGACTAACCGCGAAACGGCAATGAAGGTGTTGGCTCGTTCGTACCCTCGTCCGTCGATCGATCGTCCGGCTCCTAAAATTGGTTATCTCATTTTTGCCAGACGATGGTCAGCATCCCAACCCTTTTTAAACATTAAGGACTATCCGACGCTACTACTTTGATAATGCTGTGTCAGGTGGAGTCAAAAAACTTTTTTCTTGCGTTTTAAGGTAAGAATAATAAATCTTTGTTGATTTCCGCGGTACCCCAAACAACACGAAGGCCTGTATTTCATTGCCCATCGATGAAAAACTATAGCTTCATCGCGGCTGACACGTTGCGTGCTGGGGGGTATATTTACGTCGCATTATCGCATCTCTCTCCCAAACCTGGAGAGCGGGTCCCGAAGCTATTTTTAAATTTTCCCCGGTTCTGCGCAGGTGGGGCATCCTATTATTCACAGCGATTTCTGAGCATCACTTTCTAAAGAACACCCTATTCGGTACGGTAGCTGTGGGTGTAGGGAGCATTGTTTGGTAGGCCATTAAAGGGGTGAGGCCGTTACGAATGCATCGGGGGGCACTAACCGTGGCCCGTTTATTGGGTGCGCTGGGAAAATGGGCGGATTTCACGGAAAACTGCTGGATTGGTTATTTTATCGCGGATTCTATATGTTACCCCATTTTCTATTCCCCAGTTTTGATGATTTTGGTCGCCATTTGGCGGGAGGTGAGGGGCCCAGAGAGGTGACAAAATGGACCCCAGCTGTGACCCTCAATGAGAAAGAGAGCGAAAGAACGCGAGTGAGATACGGAACACTCAGATTATGATTAACAGCATGCCTCAGGCAGACTGGCCCTCATAATTTACCTTTTTCGCATCTTCGTCGTGCCGAACTCGTCATCTTCAGCCGCATCCTTCACATCCTTCCCGGCCAGTCGGGCGTTCCTGGAATCAAAAGATTAAGTAAATGTCGCAAGAAAACAAAATGCATATATGGAAAGCAGGAAAATCGTAAATTAAGTTAAAGATTAAGATAAATAAGTTTCATGGGTAAGAGTCTAGAAACCCCCCTCCCCAGCCGGCACCAACTTTTGTATCTCGGTCCCCCTTTGTGCTAGCGAGCTCTAACGTATACCAAAATGTTCGCCGTAGGCTAATTAGTAAGACTACATTGCAGTTCAGTCGAAAAAAATAGCGAAAAATAAAAATAAGGAAGGTAGAAAAGTTGAAAAGTCGGCTGGGGGGTTTCCTAGACTTGAGCCGTTTTGCCTACAAGCCGCGCATTAGCTTGGTTTTTTGTAGTTCTGTGAGGGCCAAAGATATCAAAAGATGCGCAAACAAGTTTTATTAACAATAATCTAATAATTATATAAAAGAAATCATAAAGAAACAAGGTTTTATTAAAATTTTAGGCCAAAAAAAGGTGGAAAGGTTTTTCAGCGGCCGGAAACGCGACGCGACAGGCTTTCCGTTCCGTGCCAATTTACGTAACTAGGTGAAAAGGACTATCCGTACTAGATAGCCTCGAAAACCTTGTGATTGCAAAAGTGATTGGCAAATAGAAGTCAGTTATTGAAGTCGGTATCGGAGAATCTAAAGCTAGGAAAAACCGGTCCGATATCGGGCGATAAATTCATTACAGTGGTAAAATGGGGAAAAACGGTTTTTCGCCCGACGGCTGCCGCCCTTCGCTAGATGTCGTTAGATTTGTCTGAATAATAATCGATCAGCGGTTTAAAAGAAATAATAAAGAAGCTAAATTGTTACATCAATCGAAAGTGAGGCAATTTCTTCATTCCTACTTTTTATCGCGAAAAGGTATCAGGTTTTGCCCGCAAGCAGAGCCTTAGCTTGGTGTTTGTAGTTCTTTGTCGGGCTAAAACCATAGAAAGATGCACAAAAAAGTCTTAGTAATAATAATCTAACAATTATCTACAAGGAACAATAAAGATACGAGGTTTTATTTAGTTTTTAGGCCAAAAAACATTGGGAAACTTTTTCAGCGATCGAAAACGCGCCGCCACAGGCCGCCGTTCCGTGCGAACTTAGCCACAATCTAGGTGCAAATGTACTACCAGCTATTTTCTATTAATTGGAAGCTAGATCGTCTTGAAAACTTGTGATTGAACAAGTGATTTACACAAAAAAGTTAGTTAATAAAGTCTATGGCCAAGAAGTTAAAGCTAGGAAAGGCCGATGAGGTTGAGAAGCGATGTTTTCTACTTAATTCAATTGCTTTTGCAATCACAAGTTTTTTAAAGGTCAGCTGGTTTCCATTTTGCTAACGAAAAACTGCCAGTAGGACGTTTAAACGTAATTCTGGTATTTTCTGAAAAGAAGTTAGCAACTTGTTTTCGAAGAAAACCGACGCCGCACTCCGAATACTTCCCTCAAGTTTATGTTTGATATTTTCTAGATGAAGCAAAGAAGAAGAAAACAATTATGATGGAAACCTCGTTTGAAAATGAGGTTTCGGTTGGCAAAATGTAGGTTTTTGGGGGAAATTTTGCGAAGAGGTTCAGTCATATAGGGTGCACACGCGGCTGCAAGCATCGGCCACGCGACGAGAAGCTACTTCAGAAGAGAAAATGAAGGTTGGAAGTTAATTTAATTGCCTCTTGGGTGTGGTTGAGCAGAAGTTACAATCGCCTATGTCTTTTTCGAGATTTGTCGCCGGCGATTCGACGAAAAAGTAGGTCGTTTCCAGTGAGTTAAGGTAAGTATAAGAGGAGGCTAAACACCTTTTTCACAAAGTAACAACAAGCCAAGCTTAGGTGAGGCATGAGTCCAACCGGAAACCGCGATATTTCAGGTAAGCGCACATCGAGTGGGATGCTGCAAACGGCTTCTCGGTGGTGACATCAGATAGCGCTTTTATTATTATTAGTATTAGCGCTAGTGGTATCAATTGCTGGCATTAATCACCGAAATAATTTGTTAATGACAGTGCTTTGTAGATCTAGACTCGAGGATTCGAGCGCCAAGGTATGCTAGGGCTTACAAGCGAGTGATAGCTTTACCTAGGCAGCTCTGGTCGATTAGCTAGTGCTATTTTGTGTCCATCTGAGGTGGGGGTTTCGATTCCTGGCGGCAAGGGACATTTTTATTTTACATTTTTGTTGCTTAGGCTTTAGACACGTTTTTTAGCTAGCCTGAGGTAGCTGTAGGCGATTAGCTGGTGCTATTTTCGCTATTTTCATGCTATTTTTGGCGCTATCTGCGCTCGCCGGTTCGATTCCGGTCGCGATCTACTTTTTCAATTTTGATTTTCCATTTAATTTCACTTCATTTTAATTCCATTCCAATTTCAATTGTTAAACTAGCTAGTAGCTTTGCCTGTAAAGGATAGATGGGTGGCTAGCGCTGTTTTCTACGAATCTGAGGCCACTGGTTCGCCTCCCGTGCGCGTCAAACTTTTTGTCTTTTGCGTTTTGCTTATTTTTATGTAGTTATTTTGATTTTCTTTGAAGGACACCGCCGCCTTGTAACCACCATGCCCCGGGGCTACATCCCTCGCGTCAGGTGTGATGAGGGCCAGATCAAATATCGATTGCGCCATATGCCCCGAGGGGTCGATGACCCTAATCTCGCGCACTCTCTCTCTCTCTCTCTCTCTCTCTCTCTCTCTCTTCTCTCACTCCCGACTACCAATGGCATCCAGCAGTGTTAGGGGGCGGGGCCAGCTGTCTATGACTCTCTCTCCTTTCCCACTCTCTCCACATACCACACCCCTTTTTCAGGGTAATTACCTGTATCTCTGTATCTCTGCGTCTCTCGATCCCTCGCTAGGTCAACAGTGCCCCCGGGCAAGCTGTCCTGAATGATCAGTTATTGCGCAACGCCTCAGGCAAAGTATTCCCGCAATACTATACCCCCCGGCTACGCAATACAACTATGAACATGCTACCAGCTTATCCGTGCTACGAAGCCACCCAGACGCCTTATTTATATCCCTTTCACAAGTAAGTGTTGTTTTTTGGGTACTGTAATTAATTAGGTTACAGTGGTGGCTAAAGGCATTGGATTTTAAGATTTTTACAATGACATGCTCATTATTTAATAACGTTGAAATTAGCCTAAAAATTGTTGAAATGATCGAAAAATGGCTTTCCCGAGAGGTTCAAGGTTTTCAGGGTTACTGTAATTTCTAGGGATACCGTGGCCACTATCAAGCGTTAAATCAAAACTTCTCCAATTTTTAATAATTTTAGAATGAATCTATAAGCCGAGAATTAGCGCTGTTTTGGATTTTTTAATCCTAAGTAATATTTTTGCGTGCAATTGGCTGACCTACAGTATCGGATTACCCTTTTCAGCTATCCGGAATTTTACTAAGTTAATGTTGCAGATAAATAATAAAAATACTTGTTTATAACTAAATTCAAAATATTGTAGCGTTGATAGTATCTGTTTGGAGTGTGGTGGTAGTGGCAGTTTGCCAGGGGCCAGGTCACCCGGGGGGCCGAGTGCGGGAAGGAGGGGGAACCTCAAGGATTAGCATAATTGGGTCAACATTTAGACTAACGTTACTGCATGTTACTGTCCGTTATTATACGTTCTAGTGCGTTACATTACGCTACTGTACTGCCCAGTACTGTCCGCTACCGTACGCTGCAATATAGTACATTGATGTACGCAACTGTGCGCTACTAGCCGCTATAGTATGCCATTGTACGTTATTGTACGGAACTGTACGGGGGCTGAAATTTACTGTACAGTACTGGACCGTACGCCACTGTCGAAAGCTGTACGTTACTGTACGATACTGTATGCTGCCTTCCTCAACGTAAATGACGCTCAGAAATGTAAGAACGCGCAGTAATGAGAATGGGCTTTCGATTTACGGGGGCCCACCCAGCCTCTTAAACCCTAAAAAGGCTAAATCTCCTAAAAAAATATCAAAACTACAAAATACAACTTTTCCAGTACCATGGCCTACGGTACCCCGATGGCCGGCTATATGCCGGTGAAAACGGACTCATCTGAAGAATCATCCCCCAGCTCTCGCCCCAAATACGAGAACCCTGAAGATGAGCACAGGTAAGTACAGCGCGCGTCGATAGGATCGTCACGTCGTCGACAACGCACCTCCGGGACCACCGACCTACCGTATTCGCTACCGTAATCCGGCTCCGTTGCGTCGCCCACTCGACCCGTCACTACACTACAAACATCAAACGCTGAACAATGCCCACATCTTGGCCCTTTTGGAGTTTTTTTTCAAGGGGCCCAGGTTTGCCGGAGTTCAGGTTTTAAGGCTAGCTCGCTGCTTAGGGAATTTGGAATGTTTTGGAAGGTTTAAAAATTTTGTAGGCTAAAATACCAGGTTATTTTGAGGCTAAAATGATTTTCTATGAAAAATTTATACTTTCCGGTCCATTCCTAATTTCGCTATCATTTTTGGCTAAATTTTTTGACTTAAAACCCAGAAAAATTCAACCGATAGTTTGCAGCGAGCGCGAATTATCGACCCCTATTAAACCCGATTTTTAGGTACCGCCAAAAACGGGATCGCAACAACGAGGCCGCCAAAAAGTCGCGCAAACAGCGCAAGGCCCGCGAGGAGCAGGCCGTCCAAGCCGCCCAACGCCTCGAGCAAGAGAAGCAGGAATTGCTGCAGATCTTGCAGTGCAAAGAGCAGGAAGCCAGGCTAAAGGACGAGGTAGGGGGGAATTTTGAGCCTTAATATAGATGATTTTGGCAAAAATAAGTAGTTCCCACCATTCCGAAGGGCATTAGGTACCACATATCCAAAAAGCAAAAAAGATTGCGCCGGCCGGGAATCGAACCCGGGTCACACGCGTGGGAGGCGCGCATTCTACCACTGAACCACCGGCGCTTGGGGGTTTGGGAGAGGGGAGAAGGCTAAGAGGGGAAGGGCATGCTGGTAAGGCCAAGGCCGGCCCGAAAGCTTCTACGCGGCGGTTCCAAAAAATAAAAATTAGATTTTTTGAATTTTTGGTTTTTGTAAGGTTCGGGATACTGTAGCTTCCGCTTAACCCATCCCTGATTTCAGACAATCGATAGACTACAAAAGCAAATAATGGAGATGGGCGGCTACACGACGATCACGCAGACCTACACCACTGCCCAATTCAACGCCGATCCTTTCGTGGTGAGTCTTGGAAGTACAGTAGGCTTGGGACAAGAAATGTCATTTTTTAATTTAAATAATTGGAATTCTGTTTAAAGCAAAATTTTTAGACAATGATGGGAAAGAACATCCCGGCGAGGTGATCGAAAACAGCAGCTTCGGCGTCAGCCCAAACCCTCTTCTTGCTTTGTATTAATTGTATATCGATTTTTTTGCTCTTCTTTTTTAAAACGAAGTTGTAAACTCTTGTTCTTTAGTATTGTCTGACAAAAATTAGAGTTTATAGTTTCGAAATGGTCTTTTTTAGGGAAAATCTAGAATTTTTCGTTCCGAATGGGGTTCAAACAATAAAATCCATTCCTGATTTTTATATGTGAGATTTCTAGTTTTGGGTTAATAATTTTTCCTTTTTTGGGGTCCATTCCAATGAGTGCTTTTGACTTTTACGAGTATTGATCACTGTCTGCTACGGTTATTTTCCTATGTAAGCCTCGGAAATTTAGTAAGTAAAGTTTTTGTCTTTTTATCGATTTTACAGTAGGCACGGAGAAAGAGAGAGAAAGAGAGGGAGTGAGTGAGAGAGAGCGAGAGAGCGAGCGAGAAAGAGAGAGAAAGAGAGTAAGAGAGAGGGAGGGAGGGCGGGAGAGAGAGCGAGCGAGCAAGAAAGAGAGAGAAAAAGACAGAAAGAGAGCGAGAGACAGAGAGAGGGAGAGAGAGGGAGAGAGAGTGAGAGAGAGCGAGAGAGCGAGAGAGAGCGAGAAAGAGACAGAAAGAGAGCGAGAGAGAGTGAGAGCGATAGAGAGGGAGTGAGAGGAGAGAGCACCGGCCTAAGCCTAAGCTTAAGCGCTTGATAAACGAGAAAAAGTGTAAATTTTTCATCTTAAGAAGCGAGAAAAACTCTTCAAAAAGCAAAAGATTGCCTAGGGCGGGAATCGAACTCGGGTCACACGCATGGGAGGCCCGAACTTTACCACTCGACCACACCGTCCTATCCCTGAAGAGAAGTCGTAAGAGGCAGAAAAACCTTAGAAAATTTGCAAGAAAATTTTGAAACAGGTATATATCAAAATAATCTAATTAGCATGAAAACATCAGCGTTTTAGAAAAAGAACGTAAGGACGTCAGTAAGTAAAAAAAATGAGGTAAAAAAGTCGAAGTCTCGCCCGGAGACACATTTCCTGATTTTCATAAATTTGAGTTAGATACCGAAAGTTGCATGCGGAGTTAGGCTCAGTTCCGGATCTGCCGCAAAAATTCGGGTGCTGCTTAGTCATATATTCCGCGATGTACCAACATACGCCCGATTTCTATGGCGAGGACTCGATCCCGCGGCCTCCAATTGCCCTGAGCCCCATCTTGCGGCCCGGAGGGTTGCCCCCAATGATTGTCGGTAGTTTTGGGCGTTTTTTAGAAAATTTGGTTCTGCAGTCTTAGCGGGGGTGGGGGGACCACATTTTTCCCAGTAATTAGGTACGATATAATCAATACAACCCGTTTTTATAGGATTTTCCACAGTTTTAAAAATAAAAATGCCACTAAAATTTTCGAAAATTTGGGATTTTGGTCAAAAATGGATGGAAACTGCCCAAAACCGTCAAGTTTTGGAATTTTCAAAATTTTGTAAAATCTTTCTAACTTCGAGATTCGGGGATTTCATAAATCGGAGGAACAAATTTTCTCAGCTCGTCGAAAGCTTTCGATGGATACCTAAAGCGTAAAAATCGGACATGACTGCGGATTGCTGCGGTTGTGTTTTTGGGACAGCTGTAGAGCTTGAGGCCATATGAGAAACGTTGTTGATACATATTTCCGGTCCAGTTAACATTTTCCAGCCGTTTATGCCCACTCCGCAAAAAGTCTCTACGGCTGCCGTGGCGAACCTGAACATGATCCACCCGCCGACCCTAGGAGCTGAAGACGGCAACAAAACATTCATGGTTTCCGGGCGCGACGACCTGAAGTCCATGGGCCTCAAGGGCAACAACCAGGTTAATAATTTCCATAGTTCTCCTTCAATAAATATTAGAACAAAAATCGTGCCGTCAATTCCTACCCGGTGTTCCCGAACGAGGTGAAGACGCAGATGAACACGGACGAGGAGGAGTTCAACAACATCTCCAACAAGGAGACGAAAAACGGCTCCCAGGTTCATAATTATTATAGTTCTCCTTAAATAAGTGTTTAGGTGTCGAAGAAGTACGGCGCCCCAAACAAGGAGTATGGTATCACGCAGGGCAGCTCTGAGGGCATCGACTGCAAGAATACTGACCGTATCCCCGACAACAAGCACTAGCTATCCCATCCCCCAAGTCACATTAATTTCGCGTGTCGTGTTGTGGCATAGAATGTGAATATCTTATGTGAATATCGTGTCGTATTGTGTCATAGAATGTGCATATCTTATGTGGGTTACCGTCAGGCGTTACGAATAAATATATGGCCTTTTTCGAAGAGAAAGCTCTTGAGCAGAATCGCACACCCCGTTCGACTGGAAGTTGAATAAATTTTCAACCACATCCGCATCGCCCTTTTTCAGCCACAAGCTGTAAAATTCTGGAGTACACACCGACAGCAAATGAAATGGCATTGAGTGTTCCGGTAATAGTCTTTGAGGAGGCCGTCAAAAAACCTGAAAGGCCAGGACCCAGACGGCAGCTGTAATAAGGCTATAAAATGGCAAAATCAGCATTTCAAGATCATCGATAAGTCCTAATACATCAGATTTCCAAAAAGCAAAAAGTTTTGCGCCGGCCGTCCAAGCCGCCCAACGCCTCGAGCAAGAGAAGCAGGAATTGCTGCAGATCTTGCAGGGCAAAGAGCAGGAAGTCAGGCTGAAGAACAAGGTAGGAGGGGCATTTTGAGCCTTAATATAGATGATTTTGGCAAAAATAAGTAGTTCCCGCCATTCAGAAGGGCATTAGGTACCACATATCCAAAAAGCAAAAGACATTGCGCCGGCCGGGAATCGAACCCGGGTCACACGCGTGGGAGGCGCGCATTCTACCACTGAACCACCGGCGCTTGGGGGTCTAGGAGAGGTAAGACGGCTATGAGGGGAAAGGAGGCCGTCGCCGGCGCCGAGATGGACGGTGGCCTTTCAAAGTTTTTTTTTTGGTAATTCGCTTTGTACAAGTTTCGTAAATCCGAGATGGTGCCGCTTTGGGTGCATCTATTAATGCGTAGGCGTTTTGAAGCTGTAAAATCAAGTTTTACGGTTATTTTTTTCAGGGTTACTAGGAGGGTTCTGACGCTGAATCTAAAGCGGCATTTCGCAATCGTTTTGTTTTTTGGATCGTAGCTTCTGTGACCACACGGTCCCCTGTCTTTCTTCTTCTTCCAATAATCCATAACTGGATGTTGATTCTCAGCCACCCGTCGCGGGTTTCCCCCTCGCTCCTCTGTATGCCACATTAATTCAAGACGTCAACCCCCCGTCCCAGATTTTTCGATCAAATTTCCGATAATATTTTCGCTGTACAAGGTGTGACTCATCAATTTTACACATTTTCCTGATCCTCGAGGTTTCAGTCATTTTGTCATGTCATCCTTTCCGCTAGCCATTGGTTCCTAAGCCTAAGCCTACGCCTAAGCCTACGCCTAAGCCTACGCCTAAGCCTACGCCTAAGCCTACGCCTAAGCCGAAGCCTATGTCTAAGCTTAAGCGAAGCTTAAGCCTAAGCCTAAGCCTAATAAGCCTAAGCATACGCAAAGCCTACGCCTACGCCAAAGCTCAAGCTAAAGCCGAAGTCTAAGCAAAGCCTAAGCCTAAGCGAAGTCTAAGCCTAAGCCTACGCCTAAGCCTAAACCAAGCATTTCAAGACACTTCTTATTTCAGGTTCAAAACCTTATGCTCATCTATTATGTCTGCATTGGTGTGTTTTTTAATAAAATTTAATCATATAAAAAAAACCTAAAACATATTGAAATAGCCTAAAAATTAAATTAAATTTTTGACCCTATTTAGCACTCCTTGCTCATTCGGCTGATGTCTCGGCGCAACACGATGCAAGTCAATCTCTTCCAATACGAGGAGCGAATGGCCGAGGAGAAGCGGAAGAAGAAGGAGGAAAAGAAGCTCAAAAAGGAGTCGCGATTTTCGAAACTCAAGGTATTTTTGAGGATTTTGAATTCAGCTAGTTTTCAGGCTACATCTCGACGCTGGCTGGGGCTTTGAGCGGGGTTATAACGCCGCTTTGGTAGGTTTTTCAGGCTTAGCTTCCGCTTAGCTTAGGTTTAGGCTTGAGCTTCGCTTGGGCTTGAGCTTAGTTTATGCTTAGACTCAGGCTTAGCTTAGACTTAGGCTTAAGCTTAGCTTGGTTTTGAGCATGATTTCATTGATTTCAGGTGCGAAATCGACTCCCCGGCAAAACTTCACGACGCAAATTTCCTCCACATTGGCGAAAATCGCCTTCACCCCGGCTTCATCAACGGCTCCAAGGCCTTCCTCGACTTCCCCAACGCCACTAGTAATCAGGTATCCTCGCGTAGCTACTGTACCTCGCCGTTACGTATATGTTCAGCTCGGGGAGTACAAGTGCATCCTGATTGACGACAACAATACACGCTTTGAGGCTACGCAACAGATTTACGGTAGTTTACCGCGATAGTTTGATTTTTGAGATTTAGCTAAGCCATTTTTCTACGTTCAACACATGGACAACATTACTGAGATACCGGAAGAGCCCACTAAGTTTAAATGGACGCAGACACTACCGATTATTTTGGTTTTAACTTGATTTTAAAGGATTTAGGGCCGGATTTTTTTAGACAAAACCTCTGGAGTTGATTTGCCCGTCTTATGGCTATCCGCCGCCGAAGCATACATGGTACAAAAGCGGCTTGAAACTAGGTAAAAAAGCGACTAAACTAAAATATAAATTCTTAAGTTATAATATTTTTTAAATCCAATTTATATTATAGGTTTCGAGACTTTGAATAATAATTTTATGTAAAATTCAGCCCTTCCAAGTCCTCATCATTTCAATTTGTCGAAAGATGGCCGGATTCTGACGATTTTGAAGGCAAATGTAAGCCAAGAATCTATAAATTTAATTGATTTGTTCCGTTAGCCTAGCTTTGAAAATCCAAAAAGTTAAATCCCATTTTTAGCGCTACGACTACGGTGGCTACGCATGCACGGCCACGAATTCATTCCGTATAGGTCCAAATGATCCAATGATCAGCTACAGTATCACAATGGAATTTTACGCTACAAGTCAATTTTGCGCTTTTATTTAGATTACCAATTCCTTTAATTCCTGAAAATTACAAAAAATTGTCGATTTTTTAGCCTTGGTCGAGAGTGGGTACGAATGGTACATCATTGCGTTTGCCGCTGTCGTCGTTGCGTATGTTGGTGTAAAGCAGAGTTGTAAGTAGATATTTTTGAATTTTTCCTTAAATAACTTTAGGCTTCATCCCGAAAGCTCGCTGGGAAGAGGCCGGAAATTGGTGGAAGCAGCTGCCGCGCCGTTTTTGCAAGGTTGAGCGTCGAGGGGAGGAGCGACGCATCAGTTCTGTGTACGTTTCTGGAGGGTGTTTGGGTTCCTGGTACCTTTAAAAGCGATTTCTAGAGTTTTGGCTATTTGCCAAAATCATTGAAAGATAGCAGTTACTTAAAGGGAGAGTGACATCAAGGTTTAGTGGGTTTCGTACCTAGATGTTTTCCAGCTCTTTTAAAGGGCCAATCCGCGATGACGGGCATCACGGGGGGTCCTGCCATGGCAGCGACAGGTGACGCGTGGCGCGGACCTCGCCAGTGACACGCAACGCGTAGCTCCGGTTCTGCCGCGATACGCAACGCGCAGCATCACGACACACAACGCATAGCGCCAACCTGTACCGCGACCCGCAGCACCTAGCGCTGACCTTCCCCGCGGCACGCGACGCGTAGCGCTACTCGCTCCCGCGGATGCACGTTACGCGTAGCGCCAAGCTTTCCAGCGACTCGCAACGCGTAGCGCTACCTACCCGCTACACGCAACCCGAGAGATCGTGCCTCTGCAATTTCCGTTTTGGATGATACCCTGGAAGTGATAGGATACTTTTAAAGGGGCCCTAACAGCCCGGTCACCCCTCATAATTTGAATATTTCCAGCCACTACCGCCCGGTCCACCATCACAGTGCTCCCCAACTTCCCACCGAGAGCCTCTGAGACCGAGTGGAGACTTTTGGCGGGCAATTTGCATGTTTACACCCCGGCTGGCACGCTGCCAACGGGCCAATAAATCAGTTGAGATGAGCCGGGCGGTTAATGGCATTAAGTGCAAAATAGGGTCGGAGTGTCTGGTGGAGAGGCGCGATACAGAGCAAGTCAGAGAGAGCGAGAGAGAGCGAGAGGGAGAGTGAGAGAGACAGGCAAACAGAGAAACAGAGAATCATAGAAAAACAAGGAGCACCAGGAAAGGAGGAGCCCCACTGAGTCACCACCATGTTTTTGGCCCCGCCGATCGCGAGGCAAACCAGAAAAACGACTCCATTGCGCATACCACCACTCGATCGGGGAGTAGACGGTGAGAGAGAGGGAGAGAGAGCGGGGGAGAGTGAGAGAGAGACAGCCAGACAGTCGTCACATATATTCCTCCCCTTCATATATTCCGATCGTCATCTTCGCGGCTCGTCTCGTATTTTATTTTCCATTTTTTTTGCTTTCTCAAAGACAACAACAACCTCTCCTGCTTCTTTTCTTGAATAATAAAGCATATTTATTCATCCTAGCTTTTCATTGATGCTATTGATTTTAATATTTTCTATATTTAATTCAATTAATACACAGTTTTATTGAACAATTAACTTTTTATTTTATTAACCTTTATTAACCTTCCAAAAACCAAATTAATTCAGTTTATGAAAATTTGCTTTTAGCATGCCCTTCCGCTGCAAGCTAAACAATGATCGTACCGAATTTTGTAGTGCTTGGGTCGCGTTTATTAGTGAGTTATTTTGCGAACTTCATCGCGTATACGGTCATCGTAGCTAGGAGTCATCGTAGTCATCACGATAATTTAGTCCTTACAGTACTCGTCTCATTCCTGGTGCCGGCCGTCCTGGTGTATGCTCTTGAAAACATCTTCGCACCGATTGGGCTATTGTCGGAGAGGCTGGAGAAGGTCAAGCTCAATTCGGATGTGACGATTTATGCGATGGAGGTGGGTTTAAGGAGTTTTAAAGGAACTTGGAAGCCGAGGTTATGGATTTGCTATGTCTCTGCGATGGGTTTCCATTGCGTAATCGGTTAAACATGTTACAAGGGCCACTTCCTGCCGTTTAAAGGGACTGGCAAGGCAATTCCATAGCTTTTTCTAAAACGCACAGCGCGTTCGCCCGATTTTCCATAGTAAAATCGATTACGGCGGGTTAATGACGGCGCGTTGCGTGTCGCGGGTGACGCGGAGTCCATAGCCCTGCCTTGCTAGTCCCTTTAAAGACGCGAGGCAGCGAACTTCAGCGAGAATTTTCGAATTTGACAGTTAGCCAGATTTTTGTAGAACTTCCAAAAAGCTCCGAGCTACAAAAACGAACTTTTTGGTCCCTTTAGAGGCGCTAGCAAGCCAAAATCCATAATCCCGCTCATCCAATTACGCCATCAAATTAAACTGAACTTTTCAGGACGATTATTACACTCTGGTCAGCCCGACCCAAGCCCTCAGATGGGGAGCCCGAGTTGTCTGGACCAAAAATGGAGCTGAGCTGGGTAAGAAAGTGTCGTTATTACCACAATTTTGTAGAGCAGAACAAGAAGCACTACGAGCACGGGAGGCTGCGGCTTCAGAATCTGACGGTAATCGCCTCTAAAAATATTTAAAAATATTTTTTTTTAGACTCGCGCCTCTGGTATCTACCACTGCAGTGTCGGGGATCGTGTCGTCGCCACCTTTCACTTGATCGGTCTTTTAGTCTTTTAAAGGAGAGTTGAAGTTAAATCTAGTGCTGCCGACCTGGCCGGGGATGCTGAGGGCGCACATGCAGGCGATGGAGTATGCCATGCTGTTCTTTTGGCTGATGGTTGGAGCGCTGTTCTGCATCGGAAAGCGCTTTAAGGGACGGAGGATTGCCCCGGAAAAGTGAGTGATTTTTCGGGTTTTTGGTTACATCATGTAGTTGCAAAAAAGTGTTGAATTCCAGTGACGTTGCCCCGATCGAGATGTCGGAGGTTGGACCGGCTCGCAACCGCCTCCGCGGCCATGGATTTGGTCAGCTTCTGGTTGCTGAGGAACACTAGATGGCTCTGAATCACTAGAGCTCTCTCAATCTCACTCACTCGCTCTCTCCCTCCCCTCTCTCTCAATCACTCTTCCTCTCTTTCTCGCTCTCTCTCTCTTTCTCTCTCTCTATCTCTCTCTCTCGCTCTCTCTCTTTCGCTCTATTGCGAAAGTTCTCTATCGCACTCTATCTCTCTCTTTCCCTCGCTCTCACTCTCTACCCCTTCTAAATCCGCGTTCACGTTCTTATTCTCGTTCTCATCCTAGTTCTCGTCCTCTCGCATCTTCGTTCTCAGTCTCGTGCTTGTTCTCGTCCTCCTGCTTCTATATTTCTGTCATTATCTCTATACCGTAATCGTTCTAATTATCGTTACGATTTTGTTTTCCTTCTTGCCCACTCTCACCTCTCTCGCCTCTCTCGCTTCTCTCTCTCTCTCTCTGCCTCTCTCATTCCTCTCTCTTCCTCTCTCTCCGTCTCCCCCTCACTCCCTAGGTGCGAGTCTTCCTTCCATTTCCGTTATTGGCTGCTTTAAAGACCCCTCAAGGCATAATCCATAGCCATCTCTCCCTTCCCGCGATCTTTAAATACCGTATTCCCAATTTTCCACGACAATTCCTTGCCATTCTTTAAACATTGCCATTTCCACCGCACTTTTTTTACCGTCTCAAGAAGGTCAACTCTTTTTGTGAGTTCGACAACTTTTCACCCGCCTTCAATTTCCCCCGCCCCACATCCGCCTGATTGGTTTTTGGCCTAAAACCTGGAATCCGTCACTTTTTCCGCTCTCCCCACTCGTCCATCTTTTTCCTAATTTCTCATTATGTTTCGCTTTAATTTGTTCACTTACCGTTACCCCCTGCCCCAATTCCATCGGATTCCCCCTTGCGATTGTAACCCCGAGATTTTACTGTAATTTTTGAGAGATTTTTAGTTTTACAAGAGTTTTTGCAATAAATGTTTTTAGTGGTTGTTTTCAAGGCGTTGAGTACAGTACGGAACTGGAAAATTAACGAATTTGTTTCTTTCTCTCGCTCGCTCTTTATCTCTCTTTCGTCTATCTCTCTCACTCACTTTCATCCTAGCTATCTTTAACTCGTTCTCTATCTCTCTCTCGCTGTATCGCTCTCTTTCGCTCTTTCTCTTGCTTGCTCTCTCTCTCTCTCTCTCTCTCTCTCTCTCTCTCTTTCTCTCTTTTTCTCGCCCTCTCTCTCTGTCATTAACGTATAGCCGTAACGGTAGGGATACAGTAAAACCGCAAGAGTGACAAATAAAAGTACTGTAGTAAACCCAAAAATTCCCAATATAGTACGTTTTTTACGTTTTTCCACCCCATAACCTCATGCCAGCTTCATTAATTAGGACCCCTAGTGGATAGCTTGGTTATTATTTCGATAGCATCCAATTTTTCCCTTCTACCACCATCCTCCAGGCTATACGATGGTGGGGCGCGACTTTTAGGAAAGAGGAAAAAGACGAAGAAGATTATGGGAGGGGGTGAGGAATTGGTGTGGCACCATTGCCCTGAAGGGAGAGAGGGAGAGAGAGAGAGAGAGAGAGAGAGAGAGAGAGAGAGAGAGAGAGAGAGATAGACAGAGAGAGAGACCAATGTCCCCAAAGGCTCCTCCTCTTCCTTCCAATGCTTCTTCTCAGTTTCGGAATGCAATTGCCCTTTTGGCCGGGATGTGAACAGAGGCTTCTTCTACTCTTCTTCTGCCTTCCAATCGGTCCTCATCATCTTTCTCTGGGCCTCTAACTAGCTGGCACCCCAGCCGGCTACGAGCCAATACCCTTTACACCCCCTGGGGGTTACGATTTCACGCGTCCTATTTGGTGCGCTACTAGTTACAGTAGAGCTAAGGGTACTTGGAAGCCGAATTTTGTTATTTTTTAAACATCTTGCAGCCACCGTACTTCTAAAGTGAGCGAGACGCTTGAGTTTCTGCTTTTAAAGGGCCTAACAAGGCTAAGGTAACCCGAAAATCTGATCCACTACACTACACTACTATTTTAGGGTACTATAGGGATATTGCCAAGTGATTTCTAGCTTCTAAAGGGACAAGAAAGCCTAAATTCCCTGCACAAAACTCGTAAACTTCGACTTTCCACTGTCTGTGTTGCCGATCAGACCATCATTTCACACGCCTCATTCCGTTTGATTCCCCTATATGGCCCTCTTTCAGGCTCTCCCGCTCTCTCTCCCCCTCTCTCTCTCGCTCTCTCTCTCACTCTCTCGCTCTCTCTCCCGTTCTCTCGTTTCTACACCCTGAGGGTCTTTCTTGTCTTCTGACTCATCCTGTCCACCGTTCCCCTCCCCGTCGACCCGATCCGCCCCGCGTTTTTTCATTTTCTCCCTCTGGGCTCTGATTGTCGGGTTGTTTGATTCGTTTCTATATAATTATTATTTTTCTATTAATGTTGTCCTAGTTTTCGTAATTTAAAATGGAAATTCTCGGTAATTTACGAGATTTTCAACTTTTCTCGTGAAAAAAGCGCTTTTTGCGGTTTTAAAAGAATCGTGAAGCCAAATTTAACCCCCAAAAACGCGATAAAATTACCAATACTACCACTACTATAGCAAGTTCTGCCCCCACCACAAACCCCTGACTAATAAGCCAACGCATCCAGGTGGCGGCTTCTGACGGCTTTTCACCCTTCTTTTTCGTGGCTCTGTGCCCCCCGCTGACCGTCATTAGCGGGAGGCAAGGAGCGGAGGAGTTGAAGCCCCTGAATAAGGGTTCCAATGGAAAAGCACAAGGAAAAGCTCGACGAAAAGCTGGAGGAAGGGCGGGAAGTGTGTTTTGGCAGCAGATGAAGAAGACGGACGGGGCCGTCGCGCCTCCGTCCCGCCTAATCAGCGCTAATATATGCAAAGACGTTGCAGGCACGGGGGTTCTCGGTCTCTCTCTCTCCCTTTCTCTCTCTCTCTCTCTCTCTCTCCCTCTCTCTCTCTCTATCTCTAGCTCTTTCTATGGCTAGCTTGCTACCACTTCGCGCCATTCCGCTTTGCACTTTGATATGTTACTCTTAAGATTTTCTAGATCCTTGGTTCTGGGCTTAATTTGTTAAATCACTAACTCTGCATATTCCGCGTTTTCTGGTATGCAAATTGATAAGAACACTCTAATACCTCTCGTGTGCATATGATTGATTGATAAGCGGTCATCCCCCAAAATTTGCATTTTTGATCGTAAATAAGTTGCTCAATCTGTATTTTTCGACAAATAATTTACGATCTTTTATTAATGTCGATTTTTGTCCTTTTCGAGCGTCTTTATTTTGTTATTTTGTATATTTAGAATGGCCGTCGAGCCTCTAAACGATCCTAGCCTAGATGAGGAGATGCCGGAACTAGAAACTACAAATGGTAATTTTTGAGATTTATTTTTTAAGGGTTTTTAAATTATTTTTAATATTTAATTTTGATGGTCATCATATGTTATGGTGTTTTTTAATGGATTTTGTAAATTTACTCTGTTTTTAAGGAATTTTAGAAACTTTTAGTGAGTTTTAAGAAGAAATTGGCCATACGGCGGCCCTAAAAATCGCATAATATTTTTTCCTGAAAATTCCGTCTCTTTCTAGATTACGCTGCGACGGAGACGGAAAAATTTGAAATGAATTTTTTTGAATTCTATAATTTTCGGGGGTTTTAGCTGTTTTACTCAGTTTTTTAAGATATAATTTGACCATACGATCACGTAAAAATCGTACAGTTTTTCTCATATTTAATTCCGCCCCTTTCCAGATTACACTCTGACGGACACGGAGGAATGTAGCGATAGTGATGAGGAGCCGGCGGAAAAATGGTATGATGGAAAGGGAAAAGGGGGAAAGGAAGGGAAAGGAAGGGAAGGGAAAGTGCTATTTGCACGGTGTGATGTTGTTTGTCGATTCGGAAGCGGCTTCTAATTGTGATTCGTCGATCTGGCTAATGTTTGCTTATCCATCTACATGACCTCTCTCATCCCTCTCACCCTCCGAAAGCTTTCACCCGAGTCGGATTACGCTGAATTTCCGGTTGGGTGAAGCTTAGAGAATTTTTAAGTGACTGATTACCGTATATTTTGCTAGATTACGGTAGCGATAATACAGTAACGGAATACGGCTCAATCTCACCCTAGAAAAAGTTCATGCTCCGCTAATTAGCTTGTTTGAACATTCCCTAGCCGCCTAAGAAATTAAAATCAGCCTCCTGCTTCTCCCTCCGAGGCTCGAGAAGTGTTTTGGCAGCCCGGAAGGAACGAAGGGAATTGGTTAGGGAAAAGAGCCTTATGTCACCCAGTCAGTCAGTCACCACTTGACCTCCACCACCACAACCACCCCCACCGATCCTCGAAATCGGGGAGCTGATTGGCTCGGCTTCAGGGGATGCAAATGAGGAGAGAGAGAGTGAGAGAGAGAGAGAGAGAGAGAGAGAGGGGAGAGAGCGAGGGAAAGAGAGAGAGTAAGAGAGAGTAAGAAAGAGAGAAAGAGAAAGAGAGAGAGCGCGAGAAACTGAGAGAGTAAGAGAAAAAGATAGACAGAGAGAGATAGTGAGAGGGAGAGAGAGATAAAGGGAGAGAAAGCGAGAGACAGGGAGAGAGAGAGCGAGAGAGAGAGAGAGAGAGATTCTGTAGTAGTTTTTAAGGCATCCGTCCTAATAAAACCATTCATGACCTTCTATTGCTCAGATTTTCATCCAAAATCCCCTCTAACACTTGTTAGTACCCCTCTCTGAATTCTATACCATGGCCCTCTCCCCTGCCCTCCCCAAATTAGGCGTGTTTATCCAGTTGGTGACTGGAGGGGGGAAATGGTCCTCTCCTACCCTCCCCTCCCCCCCCCCCTCCTCTACTGCCATCCAAAGCCCCCCCAAAATTATTTGATTATCCCCCCCACCACCAATTATGACTAGTAGCTATGCTGCCAGACGCCCCCCAAGCAACAACATCCATCTTGGGTAGTACATCAGTGTCTCTGGGATGCCTACAAGCAGCACTGGCTTAATTTTTGAATTTTTATATTTTTACATTATTATTGAGAAAGATATAGAGCGCGAGAGAGACCGAGAAAGAGAGAGTGAGCGAGAGAAACAGAGAGAGCGAGAGAAAGAGAGAGAAAGAGAGAGAGCGAGAGAGATAGAGAGAGAGAGAGGGAGATAGTGAGAGAGACAGAGAAAGCGCGACAGAGAAAGCGATATGGATAGAGAGAGAGGGGGGAGAGAGATAGAGAGAACGAGAAAGAGAGAGTGTAAGAGACAGTGAGAGAGTGCACCAGCTTGTCGCGATTTATGGCATTTTTAGCTTTTCATTAGTGCATGGCCTACATTTTTTGGATTTTTAAAGTCGATTTTGCTTCCAGACTTGTTTTTCGGAAAGTTTTGTAGTCACCCTCCCTTTAAAACCGAATCCCGGCCATTTTCAGACGGAACATATCTTAGTTAAAACTTATCATTAATGCTAGAACGTACGAAGCACTAATGGAGGGCGATTTTTGCAAATTTGCCTTTAACGTCCCTTTAAAACAGAATCCAGGACTTTATTGCCCTAAAAAGTAAGCACATACCCTCCCATTAAGGCTCAAACCCACGATGTATTAGCTGAACAAATTTTTCTAGTCTGGATCTTCTAGACAAGTCTTTAACGGACCTTTCGAAATTATCTCCGACTATTTTTCCGTAATTTTTTGCCACTACAAGCTACAAAAAGCCCCCATTTTGGCCCTCCCCTGGGTCCCCACCCCCCTTATTTGCATAGCTAAATACCTGTAGATAATGTTGTTGGTGCGGGCTGGCTGGTAGGTTAGGCCCTATAGCGTCGGCTTGGCCCTATAGTGAGGACAGGTGGGTGCATTCGGCTGAATATTGGCCCCCTCCTCTACCCCCAAATCGTTGCCACGCACCTCTCGGTGGGCCCTAAAGACAAAGGGCCCCCCCCTGGGGCCCAAGCACGACAGTGATTGATTTTGGATTTGGGTGTTCTGGGCTAATTATTTGATTTGTTTTATCACAAGAATAATTTTATTTTGACTTGGCAATCGTCCCATTATTTAATTTATTCTGTTATCAATTTAGCATCAGTATATATCAAATTTTTATTTCTAATTTCTTTGATTTTGTGAATTTCTTTTTAGGTTTTTTGGCTAATCTATTTTATTTTACACCAATTTTTCGCATTTCCGATTTGAATCGTATAACACTCTATGCAATTTTTTTTTCGAATTTTTCTGTTTCTCGCAAGTAATAGATCTAAAATATTTTTAATTAATGGATTTCGCATAGCTGGTTTAACGTAATTTTTTTAATTTTTTACTTTTGGGAATTTTGTATTTTCTAAAATTTGTATTTTTATGATTTTTTGAAGCTCAGAAACAGTTGAATCTAATGAAAATTCCGTATTATCCAGTTTATCGTCTTTTTCGTATTTTAGCCTTTGAATGCCTTTTAAAATTCCGATACCCAAATACCCGAACGCTCAACCCTTATGCCCAAGCTAATTCCACCCATTTTAAGCCCCGGTCGGGCCGCTTCGCCCATTTCCGGGGCCCTCCTAAAATCGTGCCCTCGCCTCTAAATTGGGGGTATCTGCGTGGGGGTGGGTCCTGAAACGAGGAGGAATCGAAAGGAAGAAAGGGACTGATGGCATGGATTACCCATCGCGGCGCGGGGGGGGGGGGTGAAGAATGGTGGATCGTTTCGGGGCCCACGTCTCATACGCAAATACCGGGCAATTAGCCCAATTTTCCGGGCTGTCTTCCGGGGCCTTTTGGCATTTGTCATTTTTGATATTTAGCCCTTAATACTGTGTAAGATAGACAAAAATTACAAATAGATCTTCGGAACCAACAAAAATTTTTTCAGCATTTGTTGACGTTTTAACTAGCTTTAAAACTCATAGTTCGTTTTTCAGCATCCTCTACCTGACCTCCGTCCTCTCGTCCGCCGAAAAAGCCGCCAAAATCCGTGAAGAAACACTTCCGAGTTTAATTGGAAGAAGAAGATCAGCACTTCCGCGAAATCAAGAAGAAGTGGAGTATTGTTGCGCGGCTGGGAGAGTGTAAGTAGTCCTAGAAATCCAGAAATCGAATTTTGTAGCCCGGAAGACTATCAGGACTACGAACTGGGCTCTCCGGCACGGCGCGCGATTAGTGTGTCGGCGGTTTCGGAGTGTGTTACGGAGGTTGCTGAGGTTGCGGAGTTACCTGTAAGTTAAATTTAAATTTTATGAATCTTGAATGATTTTAAGTATCTCAAAATTTGTACCTACCATCTCTCTCACTCTCTCTCTCTCTCTCTCTCTCTCTCTCTCTCTCTCGCTCGCTCTCGCACTCTCTTCTCTCTCTGTCGCTCTCTCTATCACTCTCTTGCCCTCGCTTTCGCCCTCGCCTTCGCCCTCTCTCCCAGTCTTTCTCTCCCTATCTCTTGCTCTCTCTCTCTCTCTCTCTCTCTCTCTCTCTCTCTCTCTTTCGTTCTCACCCTCTCTACCGAGATTCCGAAGCACACCCTGAACGCCCTTTCAACTCTCCGGCCATAGAAATCCAACGGAACATCAGAATTCATTGTCTTTCCACATCCCTCCAAATTCGATGAGTACCACTCCTCCTCGTGCTCCTCCTCTTCTTCCCCGAAATTCATTTGAAGGATGGTGGTTGTGATGGGCTTTTGTGGGTTGCGTGTATGGGGCGGATACATTCAGAATTCATGGGGTGCCACCACTCCATAATGGGAATAAGGGGCACGGGGGCTGGTGGGGAGGGCAACTCGCAGAAATTGGGTGGGACTCATAACCACGAGCAAGTTGCTGGAATATGTGCTTAAGGCACCATTTCATTAAAATAGCTAAAAGAATACTTTTGGCTTCTCCCCCAGGGCTAAAGAGCTATGGATTTCTGGGTTGCAGGTACCTTTAAAACAAAATTCCTTGTTTTTGACGATTTTAGAAAGGTTACGTAATTTAAATTTCGTCGACTTCAAGCTTCTAAGAGTCATGAAAATAGATTTAAGCGTATTTTATTGGTTTTGACCACCGGAAGCTATGGATTTCAGACTTCCCGGCTCCTTTAAAATCGATTTTATCAACTTTTGGGTGTTGTAAAGTAGCTAATATGTTTTACAAACGCATTATTGTGCCCGAAAACCACTCAAAAAATCCGCCCAGCAATTTTTCATCCCGCCACAACCGCATGGCCCAAAAACGTGGCCATCTGGTGTGTCGTGTAGTGTAAGGCTGGCTAGTTACGAATTTACTAGCCGATCCAGGGTAGTGTAATCTGAGATTTTTTGGAATTTTTGTTGTTTTTATGGTCTATGGATTTATCATTAATGCGCCGATTACTGTGCTTTACCTTTCATGGCAAATTCCATGTTTTGACAGGGCTTCAAAATCGGACCGCGAAAACCTGTTACACCCATAATCCCCCTAGCCCTCGATAATAATTTTTCGGCCACCGATACCTGCAGCAGACAAGCACGCGCGCCCGCCCGAATATCGCCCATACCCCACGGCCATTCAACCGATCTGCCAGGAAACGAACGCGTTGAGCCACCAGCTAGCAGCTAGCCTACCCCAACCCCAACAGGCCCCATCACTCAACCTGACTCACCCAGAGAGCTGTCGTACCCTCTTCCCCCTTTACCCCCGATTCCACACAAATACCCCGTACGACCTCATTTTCATCCCCCCCTATGCCTTGGGTTTCCCGTGCCAAACACCAATCCGGCAGGGGACCATATATCTTGGTCTATATGTCTTTTTCTCTGGCTATGGGCGGGCTCTCTCTCTCTCTCGCTCTGTCTCTCTCTCGCTCTATCGCTTTCTTTACCTAACAGATGTGGGAACAGGCAACGAGAATTCATCATTCTATTCGAATTTGGTTACTCCATGCTACCAAATTCTGAAATTTTTCAAACTACCGTGGCCTCGGGATTACGGTAGAATTCGAGATTTTTCCGCTAAAAATTGGAATTAAATTATGCAAAATCCACTACATTTTTTTCCGGCTAGCAAGCTAGCAGCGCCTCTTTGTGAAACCCGGAAGACCGATCTTCACTTTCTCTCCACTCCTTCACTCTCTCTGTCATTCTCTCTCTCTCCCCCTCTCTCTCTCTCTATCTTCTCTCACTCTCTCCCTCAATTCCCGATTTTTTACAAAAATACCCTGCGGCCACGACAGTCATCCCAGGCTGGCAATAGTGGCCGAGTATCTGATTCATCAGCCCCGCCATCAGCCATTCTCTCTCCCTCTCTCTCTCTGTCTATCTATCTATCTATCTCTCTCTCTCTCTCCCCTGCCGATGTCCATCCATACAATCATTCTCTTGTCGTGAATCCACACAATTCCTTACCATCCCTCCGCCTTGATGCCCCCCAGGCCACATCTTGCATATGCATGGGCCTCTTGTGAGAACCATCCTTCCCTTTTCCACTCCACTCCATTCCACACATTCACTCCCATTCGAGCAACAGCTTAGCATTTGCTTCGGGCGTAATGATCGTATAGTTTCAAGGGAATTTGAATTTCTAGGGTTGTTGGCTTCAATGGGCCTTTAAAAGTTGCATTTCCATAGAATCCATACAGATTTGATATATTGTTTGACTTCAATGGTCCTTTAAAATTATGTTGAGGCATGTGACACCAGTTTCCGGACCCATTTTTTATGTTGCTCCCAAATTTTTATCAAGAAACTACTGAATAACCTTGATTTCGATAGAATCCATAAAATCGGTCAATTTTTTGACTTCAATGGTCCTTTAAAATCAGGCTTCTACTTGTGATAGCATTTTCCAGATCCATTTTTTATGGAGAATCCAAATTTCTACCTTAAAACTCTAGAAAAGGAAATTGAAGTTATTTATGATTTTTAAGTACTCTTTCAACATATTTCCTAGTAGCCGTATACCTGCTCCAAAAGACAGATGCCCAGAAAAGCCGATAAGTCGATGACATCAGCCATTTACAGCCACTCCCTTCTGTTTGCATCGCCTCTTTTCCGGTCTCGGGTGTAGAATAATAATTGCCTGTCCTGCCATTCGATTGCTTCTCACCGCCAGATAAGGGCGTCGGCTTATTGTTTTTGTAGTTCAGACACCCGGCTGCCTGGCAGAATTTCTGAGTGATATTGATTATATTGAAGGACTATATGTTTTAATAACGTTTTAGATGACTTGAAGGAAAGTTCAAAGGGATTGGGAAGTCAAAACTTTCATATATAGAGATTTCAAGCTATGGATTTTGCGTTGCGGGCCCCTTTAAAAAGCCAAAAGCAGCTAATCGGCTTTGAAGCTGATTTATAACTTAAAATTTTGCCTCGAAACACCGCAATTTTGTTCTAAAGGGAGCTGCAAGTGGAAATCGACAACTTTCGTAATTTAGGGTTATGGATTTCTGACTTCACAGCCCCTTTAAAATTAGCTAATGGCGACTCTAGGTGATAGATTTTGACTTGCCAGGCCCTTTAAAACACCCCAGTCGGTGGTAGGTAGCTCTTGCTCCTCTTCTGATTCGCCCACTTAGCCCTCCCCTCCTCCCTCGTTCTCCTCTTTTTTTGTGAGGATTGCGGCGGGAACGGAAATTGATAGCCTCTTCCAATCTAGCTGACAAGACTACTCTTCAATCCTCTTTCCAACCCCAACTCCTCAGACAGCTGTCAACCCAGATATCCAAAAGCCGCCCTTTTTTCAAAGAGGAGCACGACCAGGGGTAAGGAGAAGCGACAAGGATGAGGACAACCCCCTCCCTCACAGATTAGAGACCTCTAGTAAAAAGGTCTCTGGTCCGCTCTTGCTCCTCCTCCCGCTGTTGCTCCTCCTCCCATCTGCTACCCCCTTCAGGTCATTAGCGGCACACCCAGTTTACCTTTGGTTTTTTTGAGGGGGGAGACCGAGCCAAGGCCGGTTTTTTGCCGGATTCCGGAGGAAGGCGAATTTCCACCAGCTGTGAGACTACCGGGCGCTGATGCTCTAATTTGTTTTTGGGAGGTCGCCAAGTCGTTAAAAACCTGGAATTTGGAGTTTTTTTAATGGATTTTGGCCTTAGAAATCCGTTAAAATGTGAAATTTGCTTTGAGGCTCAAATTTTTCGGGATAATTGTCATTTTTGTGTTTTTGGAAAAGTGCCAAGTTGTGAAAAATCCTAAATTTTAGGATTTTGTTATGGATTTCGGCTTTGGCGTGCCTTAAAGTTTTCAAAAATTGATTTTAAGCTACAATTTTGTGCGATAATTGTCATTTTAGAACTTTTTGGGAAATGCGCAACCAAATTTATGAAAGTCGGAGGTAGATTTTGCCTTCCTGGTTCCTTTAAAAAGCCGAAAATCGGGTTTTTTGTGCTTTTGGCAGTTTGAAAAGTTTTCTAGATCCAAATTTTAGGAATATTGCTATGGATTTTGCCTTGTAAGCCCTTTAGAAATCAGAATGCACTTTAATACCAAAATTAAAGATTTATCCTGTGGATTTTTTGCCTTCTCTGTTCCTTTAAAACTTTTAGAAGTTTAGAAGGCTTTTTGAAGGTTATTGACAATTTCGAAAAGTTTCTCCTTCCGCTATGGTTCCTGCCGTCCCTGTCCCTTTAAAACTCGTATCACCCCAGCTTCTGGAGCTCCAGCTGCTCTTCCTCAAACACGCGATATTATCCCATTAAATTCAATTAGCAACCCCCCGAAATCCTATCAATCCTCACCCTCCCTCAATTCCGTTTCTGTCCTCGTTACTTCTCCTCTTGCTCCCTCTTTTTCTGGATGCAAATCTTGTCCTATTGCATGTCAGTGGACGAGGATGGAAAGTAGAGAGGAAAGAAAGCTGGAAAGAAAGATGGGCCAGGGGGGAAATGGGCACAGCTGGATGGGATTTAGGGGGTGCTGATCCCCCCTAGGGGGATCTTGATCCGAAGAACAAGCAGGCTGATCCTAAAGGAACATTTGCTAATCCTGCTGATCATTTGGATTCAAAATTTAAATAAATTAATCCCGAAATAGCTAAAAATTTGTTCTCGCAACTTATCCTACCTTATATAATTTGGTCGCGTATCTTTGTCTGTGTGTGTGTGCGGAGGTCAGTTTC